CGCTCTTCAGTCTCTCACCCGCAACCCTCGTGTTCTCTCCACATTCTCGGAAGCTCTCAACGTCATCTTCTCTCTCTATTACCCACAGTCGTCATTTTCTCAACATTCCCTTTCCATTCGTGAGGGAACAGTAAGGTATTAATGTTGTTTAGGTTAATTTGGTTGTCTCGTCTGGAGATAGATTGGGCATTGAGGTTCTTCATTCATGGCTTTTTTTTTTACAGGAGCTCAATAACCCGTGAGAAATTTGAAGAGCTTTGTAAAGACATTTGGGAAAAATTACTTTCACTTGTGAAAGAGGTGCTTGAGCATTCTAGCTTCATTGGAATAGATATGCATTGGAGTTGATTGGAGGTGCCACCAGAGTGCCAAAATTACAGGTTTGAATAATATTTTTCCCTTTGACAATTCTTTTGGAAGTGTGCACTTAGGGAAGATTGGGATTAGATTTTGCTGTGTTGTATTACAGTTATGCATGTATTCATAGTTAGGATGTGTGATAGGCATTTTCATGCCAAGAACAATTTTGAACACCATGATTTATTTGGATTGTTGCTCTGTCTTTGTCTAAGAACCTGTGAATTTATGTATGTTATGACCAAGTGACATACAATTACGTGTGTTAGAAACAAAAGTGAAGTTGAACTTGAGAATGTCTTTATGAGGTAGAAACTCTATTTCCTCATTAGTTTCCTTGTCCTGTTCAGTCTTGTATAGTTCTATTGGATTTTTATTGTGGATTGCAGCAACCTAGACCTGAAAAATGCATGAACCAAAATAAACAGAAACAGCTTGACCAATACAATATGATTCTTAAAATATTACATTAACTGTCAATTAATAGCATGAGACAATCAGTTAAGAAAGAAGAAAAATGTAAAAAAAATTAAAATTGATAACAAAATGTGAAGATTTAAAAGTTAGATAGCATAATGTTAATTTTTTTTCACTTATACTATGCATATCGTTATTCCTGAGGGTATGTTTCATCAAACTGATCTGCATCGTGTGATGGTAGTGTTGCCTTCACTCCTTTACTGCCAAATGCCAACAAGTATAGGCCAATGTAGAGTAAAGCTTCTTGGCCACCATTTGGTTTTTCACAGCCAGCATAAACGTTGGCGCAAAAGGGTGGCTTAAACGTTGGTTTTTCTCAATGCAAAGGTGCACATTAGTTAACATTGACCGTGGTATAGACAGTGTTCTATGTTCTGCTGCTGCCATCCTCAAGGTTTTTGACTATGTTAATCAGTTGGAGCATTCTCTCTTGAAAGACCCTTGTTCTGATCTACACACCTGTGTCTCAAACACAAAGAAGCTTGAGGAGGCACTGAAGCTCCTCATTGATAGTTGCAGCTTGTAGGTTAGCAATTGGCTGGTTGAAGGGAATTTTTAAGTTCTTACAAGATAAAGCAATTACCAATGAGCTTTACTTGTTGAATATGAAGAAATTAGAACTGTGACAGAGAATTCTTCAATGATTAAATATTAAATTTCCCTTCAATGATTTTAATACTAAAGTTGGTTTTGTTAAGCAATATACTTGTCTGATTAAATATGTGCATGATAAATTCAATAAATGCGCAGATATGGAAATTGGAAGCAATACAGAAATATGATGTAATGGTGTATACTAAAATTTTCCTTAAGTTTCCATACAAGTTCTGGCCAATTGGACCCTGAAAGGAATTCTTCATATATGCTCACGAACAGATTTTGGCAGGTTTGTTAGAAAATGTTCTCAACTATGTTGTTTCTTCTGCATTCTATGTTTATTTTGTTTCTCATCCGAAAGTTGTTTTATGTTATTCAATAGGTTAAACAAAGAATAAATTTCTCTGAAATTGGCGAGTTTACTAATACTTTAGTTGCATGTTGCTTCATGAATCATATATACTCCATGTTCCCTAGGAAATGATGTGAATTACGAAAACATGACAATTAAAGTATCTAATTCTTTTCCAGCTCACAAGAGAAGGGGGATTTACTATTATGTGAAATTTTAAGTGCTATCCTCTTAAGATGAACATACATATCTTATAGAGAATGATTGGCATGGTGAGGATTTAAATAAGAGACGGGCTCTTCCTGACGAGTGAGTATAGAATATTGGTTAATAATGAAAGTTTATTTATTTATTTATTTTTATAAAAATCATGTTAAAGATGCATAGGAAATTATGTTGAGTGCGTTAATGATATTTCAAGTCCATTGACTAACATTTTCCAAAGAGAAATTCTAATTAATACATTATTCTAAACATCTTGCGCAAAAATCCTAATTCTTCAAGTACAACGTTATTAACTAGTGAACTTCATGACGAGATTATTTGCATTTGCCTTTCATTATTATTTTTCTATTTATTTCCTCTTGCCTTGTTTCAACATATACTAAAGCTAGATGTTTATACAGTAATTTATAAGCTCTTTTGTCTTATATGGAGAGATAGCCTCCCGTGTTCCTAATCCCACCCCCTGACTTACGCAAGGTGTCTTTTTAATTTTGTTTTTCTGAAGGTGTAGCTTTGACCTTTTAAAAGTGCTCACGTTAATAAATACTTTTGCGGCAACTACTTCCATTGTCCTGTTATGATATTATAATGCTTATTATGATGGAACTAATATATGATGTATATATGTTGAAACTTTTTGAAGATGTTACACCAGTGGAAGAAATCAAATTGGAAGACATTCGGATTCATTGGAGAAATTTTTTTTATAAAAATTTAGAAATAAATCATGTTGAAATGTTTAGTATTACACGTAAAATTTAGAAATAGGTGAATTTGGCTTTAGTATTAGACGGCTAAGTATATGTTTAATGTAGTATGACCTAATTTTTTTGAGTTTCTCTTCTCCTTGTAAGAAAAAACTCTTCTTTATGGATCCTAGATTGACCTCTATTAGTTTTTGAGTATATGGCTTCTTTAGTATTATTTATTATATAATAATAATGATGTAACTGAGTCATTCCTATAATTGTAAGGATCCCAGATTCGCCTCTCTTGGTTCATGTTGGATTTTGATTTGGCTTCAGTTAGATTGGATAATTGGATCAGTTGTATTGAATCAGTTTTTATAGATTATTTATAGTTGAGTCAATTTTATTTTAAAAATTAACCTGGTTAAAAAAATATAATCTACAACGGTTTTACGCAAAAACTGACTTAGATGTATGTGTTGATCTAAGTCAGTTCTTAACAAAAACTGACTTAGATGTATGTGTACATCTAAGTCAGTTTTCAATAAAAACTGACTTAGATCAACATATGCATCTAAGACGATTTTATGAAAACCGACTTAGATCAACACATACATCTAAGTTAGTTTTTACATAACTGACGTAAATATGTTCATTCATCTACGTCGCCTTTATCTAAGTCGGTTTTAGAACCGATGTAGATATGACAAAATAACTGACTTAAAATACAATATTTCTAGTGTATTGTTCATATATATATATAGAGAGAGAGAGAGAGAGAGAGAAGGCTTTAAACAACACTAGTGTAAATTTTATCAATTATTATACCGTTCAATAACTTTATATTAAATGTAAATTTTGTTATTCCAATCATTAAATTATAATTTCATATCATCTTATATGTCTACGTCAAGTTTTGTTAAAATTGAACAACAATTTAAAGATAATCAAAATGTTCATATATTTTTTTTTTTATATTTTGAAATAAATATATTATGTTAATTTTGATCTATAAGAATGAAATTGTTAGTACCAGAAAATGAATTCGGAGACACTTGAAACACAAGGGTGCTCGAAAATCCTAGATGATCGAGAGAAGTTTCTAAAGAAGGTCTACGAAGCTTGAAGAGAATCAGGAGATACGCGAAGACAGTTTTCGTGAAACTCTCGAAATCCTCGAACCAGGAAGGGTGCTGCTCAGGAAAAGGGCTCACAACCTAGCAACCTCTCAAAGTACAAGCAGAATCAGGAAACATTCAAGTGTAGTTTTTGTTGGTTACTCGAAATCCCAAGAATCCGGACATATACGAATACACTTCATAACCTCTCAGAATGGAGAACTTAAAGGAGACACGAATTAGGAGCAGTTAAAGTAACATGGGATAAGTGTCAAAGGCTGTAGAACGGTTTGGGGAAGTTAACGAGTAGTTCCAAGAATTATCCAGAGACGGGCCCGGGAGTAGGCCACTACGTGGAAGTTTAGAATGGTTATGCACTTTCGGGGTGCGTCAGAAATAGTTATTTTTTCCCAAATCTCTGTCTATAAATTAAACGAGCTATGCTCGTAGCAAGGGGTCATAAATCTAATTCCCACAATACCTCACACGCACTCCGCAGCCTGCGCATAAGGCATACTGTGCATACGAGACAACTTTGGGTATGATTTCTCGACCACTTTTCTTTTTCCTTTTTAGGAGTAGCGTAGCATAGCATAATCTAGCCTAGTGTAGTGTAGTCATTCTGAACATGTTTCGTTATCCTTACGAATTGTAATTCTGTTACCATTTAATGAAGGATATGATTTCTGCAGTCAATATACATGTCATCTGTTCAATTCACGTAAATTATTACATGCATGAATTTGATTGTACAATTAGCATAGATCTTCTGATGTGCTGAAACAAGCATAGATCTTCTGAAGTGCTAAAACTGGCATAGATCTTCTGACGTGCTCGAAATAGTGAGCATAGATCTTCTGATGTGCCAAACCAGCATAGATCTTCTGAAGTGCTCGAAACAATGAGCATAGATCTTCTGACGTGCTGTAACAACACCCTAATTTAACTCTATTCGTTGCTTGTACGAATTTATTCTTTCACGAAAAGTCTTCGATTCTGTCATGTCACGAACACGCATAAATTGAAACGTGAACTCGTGCTAGTTCGAACAAAAAGAACCTATGAACGAAATCATCCACAAACAGAAATATAAAATTATCTTTAATTAATAAATAATTTTGTATATATGATCTTAAAGTAACAAATTTTCAATCTAACGATTAATTTTGAAAAATTAACATTCAATATAAAATTAATGAATGATGTAATAATTAGTAAAAGTTAGATCGACGTGACTTGAACCCTCTTCAACTATATAATAATTAATCAATATTTAATAAATATAATAATTAATAGTAATTGAGAAAATGTTTTTTTTTATATATATATATATATATTTACAGAAATTTTTATTTTAATATTTGTACTCGAATTTATTTTTGGTAAATTATATAGTATTTGATAGAATGAAATAGTAATGGTCTGAATTATGAAGTGGCGCGGGGTCAACCGTGAGAGTTGAGACTCGGGAACGCGGTCATGAAACTGCAGTCAATATCATATCTTTAACTTCATATTCATGTACGTTAACTATTCCTTCAATTCAAACAACCCATGCATATGCAATTTAATACTACTCGTTTTCTTGTGTTGTGTATGAATTATGAAATCAATATTATATTTTTAACTTCATATTCATATACCAATGCAAATGCAATACGTTGACTATTCTTTCAATTCAAACAACGCATGCATATGCAATGCCTCTGCAAAACTCCTTCATCCTGACTAATATCGCATTTATACCAAAAATATATTCATTTATATTCAGAATTTCTGGGAAATGAAGCAGCATTTTACAGTCTCTTAGGTAATAAGGATTAGAGATTAGATAACCCATTTTATATCTTTCACGGTTTGAATTCATTTATTAACAACTTCTCACTCATCCTTTCATGAAAATTTTCATGCAAATTCATCACCATTCAAGTCACATTAGCAATTTCACCTTCATTAAACCGTTAAGACTCCGAATGAGGAATTCAACATTTCAAACTTCGACTACTCTGTTTCGTGTGATTATGAATTCAGTTCTCCATGAAGCTTATTTTACCACGAATTGCATTGCAAGTTCCTTTAATTGCATGTACCATGAATCTCATGTGCCTATAAATAGAATGCAATCTTATTCCTTTGATAAAACAAGTCTCCACTCGATCCAAAGCACATCTAAAACAAGCTAGTCTGTTATTAATTTGTTTTGTTCAGCAAGAATGAATCCGAACTCTACTCAAAGCTCCAGGTAATTGTAGATCTTAGTTTTGAAAGGGAAGTTATGGTATATGGTTGCGGAATTCTTGTGTAATAATATGTGATATTAACTTTGTGTCAATTAAAATTAAATTGTCTTATTTATGTACAAGTGTTATTTAATTTACTTTTATTTTATCCTTTTTAATTTAGAAATCATTTTACTTATATGTTATCACTTTCAGTACTAAATAAATAAATATGTTATTTTACATTTCAACTAGTTTATCATCTAATCTTATTAACACTTTCGATCAACCAAAAAGTGTTCTTAATAAACTAAATATAATAGATAAAAATAATTTATAAAAATAGCATTATTAAATACTTAAATTGACTCACGAAAAAATAATATTATCATTTAATTTATCTATGATAATCTTAATTATTTTATTACAAAAGTTTTTCTCCAAATTCATTGTTGACTCTAGGACTTCTGGTGGTCAAGATAAAAAAATTGAATCCCCAGCAACACATTTGGCTCCTGCGGCAAGTTCTTCCAATGCAACTGCTCCTGCATCTACGAAAAGTAAAAAGGGTACACATAAATCCGTAGCACCAGATTTGGCTCCCGCGGCAAGTTCTTCCAACCAACGTGGTTCTAAGAAAAGCCAAGGACGTTAACTCTTGGCTTCACCCATGTTAATACAACATGAAATGGCAAACAGGTAAACGTTTTCTTTCTTCTTTGTAGCATTTATTCCTTTGCAATTATATCAAACTTCTTATTTGTTCTGTTAAAATACAACGTAATAACCAATATGCTTGCTAGTGGAAAATTATTTAGATATAAATTATAAAGTAATCATTTAAATATAAATTATTTAGATCGTGTGGGGTTGGTGTTGAGTTGAACCTATTATCATTCCTATTCACTATCATTTTATTTTACTTGTTTCAGGTTTATTTGCTAGTGGAACATATGTCCGAAGAAAATTTACAACAAAGTATACGTTGGTTAAAAGTTCAGTGATTGTGTGGAATTGTTTTAGACTCTAGTGTTTACAAATAAATTATTGTAAGTAGGAAGAAGTGCCTATTAATTTCGAATTCACAAGTCTTTCTAAATTTCTATGTAAGTTTGTATTTGCTTTTGATGGTTTATTTATAAATTAAAGCAGTATGTGATAATCAAATTCCATTCTAATGAGGTGAAGGCAGGTTCAATTCGTAAGTTTGTATTTTAAGTTTTTTTATTAAGTAAATAATAATTCTACTATTCAGTAAGTATAATTTTTTATGGATATATTGTTATTTGGACCTTATCTATTTTTGGTGAATCAATTTTACTGGTTAAAGTTTATGTTAAGATTCTCCTTCCTCTTTGTAGCCCCGTTTCTAGATTGGACTATTTCTACGCCAAACATGTCGTGTTAAAATAATTTATAATAATATCATTTTTTAGAATATTAAATATTTTAAGAGTTAAAATAATTTATAATAATATCATTTTGTTGTTCAATATAATGAATTAATCACTTTTCTAAAGATATGATCTAATTGTTATTTAAAGAAAACTTCAAGTTCCACATCGATTGGAAATAAAATAATTAAAGATTATATAAATTGGGGTAATACTTACTTTATAAGTTGATTTGTATGGTTGAGTGTTAGACTTATAATGTAAAATTTAAGAGTTTAAAAAGTTATGTATCACATGGTGGAAGTGTATAAACAAATTTCTTAATGTTTCGATAAATTCATTGTGAGTATTTGAAAGTTGAAGAATTGTTAATTATAAAACTTGTAGTAGTTTCTTTTATTTTTTCTTTGTAACAAATTTTCCTGCAGAATTTCTTGCGAAAAATTCGCAGGAAATTTTCATGTGAATTATTTTTTCTAGGAAACTTTCCAAAAAAAATTTTCCCCAGGAAAGTTTCTTGTGAATATTTTCGCAAAAAATTTGGTAGGTAAATTTCTTGCAAATTTTAAAATTTGTAAAAATAATGTTTGCTGCGAATTTTTATATAAAATTCGCATGAAAAATTACATGTAATAAGAAAAATTATAGTAGAGAAACTGCATAAAAGATTCATAAAACGTCTCAATAAATAGAGGACTCATAATTGTTTTCCCAAAATAAGAAAATTCTAAAGGTACTTTAAAACTTAAATTTCATGGGTAGTAAAATATCTGAAAATCAAATGTGATTCTCCAAACCATTATAATATCAAAAGAAACTAACAAAAGTTCCTAGATAAAATATAAACCAATTCTAATATGATAATTGTAAACAAACATAAAATCAAACATTTTGGTGTCACATTCTATCAAGACACAACATAACGCATGACCAAGGTCTCAAGCTTCATCAACAACATCATCCTACTAATGATCTTCTCAACTATTAAGGATGAAAGTAGGTCATGTTAGACTTTAAATATATAGGTCAGTCATATATATTCTATGAAATTAAGGAGGGTGTATTGGTTTAAGATTTCGTAAGATTTTAAAAGACTTCTTTTTACTAAAAAAGTTCATTGGTATTCAATTAAGATTTTATGTCACTTAAAAACAATTCAGTGGTATTCTATCAGGATTTTCAAGATTTTTTAAAAAGTCCATTAAAATCTATTGGTATTCATTTGAGACTTTTTACAACTTAAAAACAATTCATTGGTATTCAAAAAATATAGGGATTTTAAAGGATTGTTGTATTAGAGAGATTTTGAAGGATTTTTTAGTGGTATTTATAAATACCAAATTCATAAAACAATCCTGTGACACTCTCTACCCCATCATTAATACACAATAAATGTAAATAATAATTTTTTTTTCTTTTTGAGTAAATAAAATCTTTCATAGTTTGATAAAATAATTTCTTCAAATATCAAAATGTAGAAGATTCACATTCGTAACTCATAAATAATAGAAAGTCATCATGTAAATATCAAAATTCAAGAAAACACATAAAGGAAATTATAGATTAATTCCAGGAAAGGTGGCAGTGTCTCCTAGTTAGGAATTAATTTATAACTTTCAAGTCATGTAATAAAAATAATATGACATAGATGCATATTTTGGTCTTTTATAAAGGGTGTTCAAAACTACAAAAGAAAGATTATAACTTTATTTATATTATTTCTTCGCTAGAAATTACAAAAGAAAACAAACTAAAGTTATTAACACAATAACATATTAGACTAAACTAGTTAAGCCCCGATGTCACATCCTATCAGAGCATGCCCAACTGAAGCATTAAGCCTCATCACCAACAACCTCATGATGCTGATCACCTGCAACATAATTTAAACATATACAAAAATAACAAGGGAGTGAGAAACTTCTCACTCAGTTTTAGGTGAAGAAATAAAGGTTAGATAACACACACACGCACAACAAATATAAGTCACATGTAAACAATACACATAAATAATCAAATATCACATATATATTCATTTATCATGCTATGCTGTCATGAACTCAACTCATACATGCATGCATGTGGCGCCATAAGGAAGTTTCACAATTCATCACTGGTGACCCTAAGGCACACCTGTACAACTGTCGGTGACCTTAAGGTACACCTTGTTAACATATCACAACTGTCGGTGACCCTAAGGTACACCTTGTTAGCATATCACAACTGTCGGTGACCCTAAGGTACACCTTGTTAGCATATCACAACTGTCGGTGACCCTAAGGTACACCTTGTTAGCATATCACTACAAGAAAAATGATTATTATCTACAGATTTTTTTCCGTAGATAATGTTTAATTATCTACGGAATATTATCTACGAAATATTACCTATGGAATTGTTTCCATAGATAATATTTAGTTATCTACGGAAATTTCCGTGGATAACTTATCTACGGATTTTTCCGTAGATAATTTATCTACGAAAATTTCCGTAGATAACTTCACCCATTGATAAATTTCGTAGGTAAAACATTTTATTTGAAATATCAATTAACATATTTTATTATCGTTTCATTTTAATTTATTGTAAAATAATTAAAATATTTAATTTAGCATCATTAAAAAAATAATCATTATAAGATTTAATTTTTTTAAAATTTAATTATTTATTATAATACTTTTAGTCACCGTATCGACCAAAAAATATATTTTATACGGTTTGAAGCAAGCCTCTCGTTGTTGGTTTTCCAAATTATCATCTGCTTTGATAAACTTTGGATTCCGTCAATCGGGTTGTGACCACTCACTCTTTACTCTTCTTGTCCATGGAGTGCAAATGATGGTTCTGGTATATGTTGACGATTTGATCATATGTGGGAACGATTCTGCTGCAATTCAACGCTTTAAAGAATATCTTAGCAAGTGCTTCCACATGAAAGACTTGGGACATTTAAAATATTTTTTGAGAGTAAAAGTTGCAAGGAATTCAAGTGGAATATTTTTGTATCAGCATAAATATGCCTTAGACATCATTCAAGAAGTAGGCTTACATTCAAGAAGCAGGCCTACTTGGTGCACAACCCATGGCTACACCTCTTGAACAGAATCATCAACTTGGACTAGCCACTGGACGCTACATAGATCAACCTGATAGGTATCGACACCTTGTTGGGCGCCTCATATACTTGTGTTTCACCAGATCGAAATTGTCCTACTGTGTCCATACCTTGTCGCAATTCATGCAACAACCGCGTGAAGAACATTGGAATGCAACCATTCGAATTGTGAGATACCTCAAAAGAAGTCTTGGGCAAGGAATTCCCCTCAAAAGCACATCTAATTTTCAACTTCATGGATGGTGTAATATCTTAATTTTTAGATAACAATATTCTCAATATTATTATTAGTATACTCTTCTTAAAATAGTAATTGAAATTTTTAATTATTATAATATATATATATATATATATATATCAAATTTTTATTACAACATTTT